GGTGGCGTGTGCCTGTAATCCCAGCTACTTAGGAGGCTGAGGCAGGAGAATTGCCTGAACCCAGGAGGCGGAGGTTGCGGTGAGCCGAGATCGTGCCATTGCACTCCAGCCTGGGTAACAAGAGCGAAACTCCTCAAAAAAAAAAAAAAAAAAAAAAATTCCCAGCACTTTGGGAGGCCGAGGCGGGTGGATCACAAGGTCAAGAGATCGAGACCAGCCTGGTCAACAGGGTGAAACCCCGTCTCTACTAAAAATACAAAAAATTAGCTGGGCATCGTGGCGTGTGCCTGTAATCCCAGCTACTCAGGAGGCTGAGGCAGGGAATTTCCTGAACCCAGGAGGCGGAGGTTGCGGTGAGCCGAGATCGCGCCATTGCACTCCAGCCTGGGTAACAAGAGTGAAACTCCGTCTCAAAAAAAAAAAAAAAAAAAAAAGCAAACACAGCACATACACAAAGATCACAAAAGGTGAGAACCTGTGGTTCCTACATAATTTTCAAATCTAACACTTATTTTTGTTTTGGTGAACCAGCAACTACTATCTTTATTCTAGCTATTCCAAAATGTCCATCTCCAGCTAATTCCTAAAATTCCCCTTTCATACAAAATGATGAGCTACAAGGGCTTTTTGTGAAATCTCAAAAAAGACAATCACACAGTATATCATTTTTAAACTTTATTTTAAAAATCAGTATGTCCATTTTAAAAAGTTTAGAAGGATACGCCAAGATATTAGCAACGATGGGGATTATGAGCTCCACACTCAAATATCCAACTACTTTTTCCACCTGGGTGATCTGAGTATGTCCAATATTGGGCTCACCCTTACACTCCACTGCAGCCCTACTTGCCACTGAAACCTGCTCTTTCTCCTTACACTCAGTATTGGGTAAAGCTTAAAGCTGCCAATGCTCACCCGGCCAGCCAAATATGGCAACCAGAAACCAAAGTTCAAAATCCTTAACTTACAGCCAGGCACAGTGGCTCAAATCTGTAATCCCAACACTCTGATAGGATGAGGCAGGAGGGTGGCATGAGGCCAAGAATTCAAGACCAGCCTGTGCAACACAGCAAGGCCCAGTCTATACAAAAAATTTAAAAATCAGCCAGGTGTGGTAACACACCTGTAGTGCCAGCTACTGAGGAGGGTGAAGTGGGAGGATTGCTTGAGTCCAAGAATCTGAGGCTGCAGTGAGCTATGATTGTGCCACTGCACTCCAGCCTGGGCAAGAGAGCAAAACCCCCATCTCGAAAAAAAAGAAAAAAAATAGTAACTTGGCCTATAGTGCTCAGCTAAACGCCATTTCCTCAAGGGAGTAAGCCTTTCTAATCATCATGCCCAAGTAAGGCCCTGGGTTCAGCTGTCACTGCATGTGGCATGCTTCCTTCATGGCAATGCTACCACATTTAAGCCGAGTGTTCTTACCTTTCTGTGCCTTGTTATTCTCACTGTAAAACAAGAACAGTAACAAGGTGGAGAGTGTATCACTGTTTAGTGCCTAGAATAGTGCCAGGTACAGAGGAAGCATCTAGTTAAGATTATGTAAGACCAACTAACAAATAATAATTAAAAATTATACAAGCAGGCCGGGTGCGGTGGCTCAGCCTGTAATCCCAGCACTTTGGGAGGCCGAGGCGGGTGGATCACGAGGTCGAGAGATCGAGACCATCCTGGTCAACATGGTGAAACCCCGTCTCTACTAAAAATACAAAAAAATTAGCTGGGCATGGTGGCGTGTACCTGTAATCCCAGCTACTCAGGAGGCTGAGGCAGGAGAATTGCCTGAACCCAGGAGGTGGAGGTTGCGGTGAGCCGAGATCGCTCCATTGCACTCCAGCCTGGGTAACAAGAGCGAAACTCCGTCTCAAAAAAAAAAAAAAAAAAAAAATTATACAAGCAAGGCATTGTAACATTATAATTTACCTATAATCTGTTAACTGTGTGACTGCCAATTAAGAGAGACCGTGGAGTCTATGTTGGTAGGGACCATATCTGTCTTGCTCACTGTTCTACCCCAAATTTCTTATAAAGCTAGGTAGAGTTGGTGTTTTTGGAACTGAATGAATCAATGAGTGAATTCTGGATTCTCCATGAGCCACCACCTTCATCCCCTCAGGTACCAAACTGCATGACCTTGGTCCCCTCTGTAGCTCTTAGATCTAGTTCGCTCCACCCAACAGCTTTCTTCGAGCCTTGTCATCTCTTTCCGGCCACCTCTGCATGGGTCTCCCTCCTGCAGTCTCTCCCCACCTCCATGCCTTGCTCATTCTCCAAACGGCTGCCAGATGGAATTTTAAAATGTGAATGTGCTCCAGTCATTATCTCGTCAAAAGTCCTTCAATGAATAGGCCCTGCCTACAGCAGCAATCTCCAGAGAGGATGCCTGCATCCCCAAGGGGGCTGCCATACTGTCCCTTAGGGTGTGAGAAGAAAATACTGAAACCTCTGTTTTTTTTTTTTTTACCTATACAGCAAATACCACTGAAGCCTAATTTATTTAAGATTGGTATTAGACTATGTACATAATATTCTGGGGATACAAGCTTAAAATTTATCACAGTGAAAATCAGTTCTGTGAAAAAGTAGGTGCAGTGGCTCATGCCTATAATCTCAGCACTTTGAGAGGCCAAGGCAGGAGGATCACATTAGCTCAGGAGTTTGAGACCAGCCTGGGCTATGTAGAGAGATCTCATCTCTACTTAAAAAAAAAAAATTAGCTGCATGTGGTGACGTGCGTCAGTAGTCCTAGCTGCTCAGAAGGCCAATGTGGGAGGAATGCTAGAGCTCAGGAGTTCAAGGCTGCAGTGAACTGTGATTGTGCCACTGCACTCCAGGCTGGGCAAAATAGTTAAGACCCTGTTTCAAAAAGAAAAAAAAGGAAGAAAGAAAAAATGTATTTCACTGAGAGGCATGTGGTAAGCCTAGAGGACACAGGCCCTCCAGCATCCTGCTCCCCAACTCAGCCTCACCCCTGTGAGTCTCTGTTTACTGAGCACACCTCGTGTTTCCTGCTTGTGGGCCTCGGTCCTATGATCAGAAGGGCCTTCCTTCCCTCGCCATCCTGGAAGACTTACCTGGCTTCCTGCTCTGCGTAGAACACCGTTCTGCCAGACTGCTGCAAGCTTGACCCCTTCGTGCCCACCAGGTCTCAGCTTAGAGGGCACCACTCACAGAGAGCTTCCCGCTAAGCTCCGGTATTTAAAGGACCCCGCCCAAGCATCATGCTCTAACCCAGAACCTGCTTGGTGTCAGAGCCATCATATTTAACCATTTCTTGTATATTTGTTGATGGATTTCTTGTCTTCCTCCCTACACTAGACTCCATGAGACCAGGACAGTATCTGTCATGTTTACATTTCTCCCTGGTTTCTAAAAATAGTACCTGACACTCGGTAGATACTTAATAAATGACTAAGTTTTACTAAATGAATACGTGAATGAATCCCTCTAAGTTTTACTAAATGAATATGTGAATGAATCCCTCAAGCTTGGCAGAGGCCACCTCCACCTCCTCTCTGAAGTTTTGATTTTCCCTGGAAGAACTGGTCTTTCTTTCCTTACCATAGTGCCCCATCCTCAAGGCATTCACCCGAATCACCCACCCCTTGAGGGCATGAACTGGATCTTACTCATCTCTGTATCCTCAGCACCTGGCACAGTGACTGAGAACACGGGACAGGCACCTACTGAACAACTGCTGACTGAATATACAAAAACTAAGCAGGACTCTCGCTGCCCTTCTCCCAACTTGGCTACTTCCAATTCGGGTCTACTTCTCACCCAACACCCAGAAACCAAAGTTGTAAGATAATCCATCTATACAGGCAAATCACCGGACAAAAAATAGTAAAACATAAAGTCTAAAAATTTATACCTTGAGGCTGAGGTTAGTGGCTCACCCTGTAATCCTGGCATTTTGGGAGGCTGAGGCAGGTGAATCGCCTGAGGTCAGGAGTTCAAGGCCAGTGTGGCCAACACAGCAAAACCCTGTCTCTACTAAAAATACAAAAATTATCTGGGCATGGTGGCGGGTGCCTGTAATCCTAGCTCCTCAGGAGGCAGAGACCTGAACCCGGGCAGCAGAGGTTGCAGTGAGCTGAGACCGCGCCATTGCACTGCAGTCTGAGCAACAAGAGTGAAACTCCGTCTCAAAAAAATAAATAAATAAAAATAAAAATTAACATCTTAGACCGGGCGTGGTGGCTAACGCCTGTAATCCAAACACTTTGGAGGCCAAGGCGGGCGGATCACCTGAGGTCGGGAGTTCAAGACCAGCCTGACCAACATGGTGAAAGCCCATCTTAAAAAAAAAAAAAAAAAAAAAAATTAGAAAAAATAAATAAACATCTTGAAACAGAGGTGAAAGTGATTTTATGATTCTGGGCTTATCCTGCCTGCCTCATCCCCTCTCTTCCCCACTACATTAAAAATCCTTTCCACTTTACAACAGATCTGGGGGGGACTCTCAAAACATAAGAGTACAGTTATTAGCCGGGCACGGTGGCTCAAGCCTGTAATCCCAGCACTTTGGGAGGCCGAGGCGGGTGGATCACGAGGTCAAGAGATCGAGACTAGCCTGGTCAACATGGTGAAACCCCAACTATACTAAAAATACAAAAAATCAGCTGGGCATGGTGGCGCGTGCCTGTAATCCCAGCTACTCAGGAGGCTGAGGCAGGAGAATTGCCTGAACCCAGGAGGCGGAGGTTGCGGTGAGCTGAGATGGCACCATTGCACTCCAGCCTGGGTAACAAGAGCAAAAACTCCGTCTCAAAAAAAAAAAAAAAAGAGTACAGTTATTAATAGTATGCTCACTATACGAAGAATTTCATTCTAACAGTTTAATTCACTGCCCCAGGTGGTGATGATGGAGTTTGATCTGAATTTAACTCTCCCTTGTTTACCAAGGGCCTTTAGATGATCTAGTATAACACACCAAGCATAATACTCAGGATGAGCCAGAAGCCACTGAAATGAAGAAAACCTGAAACTGTACTTACTTGCTCTGTTGGGAACAGGGTATTGATATACTCGACAGCATTGAAATCTGCTCGATCTAGAGGGTCCTGGCTTGGAAATACCTACATAGAAAGAGAGAATTATATATAAAAACATGTTGTATACCATAAAAATATATAATTTTGCCAATTAAAAGGAAAATAAATGGCAGGGCATGGTGGCTCAGGCCTGTAACCCCAGCACTCTCGGAGGCTGACGCAGGTGGATCACCTGCGGCCAGGTCTCTACTTAAAATACAAAAACTAGCTGGGCATGGTCGCAGGTGCCTATAATCCCAGCTACTCAGGGGACTGAGGCAGGAGAATCACTTGAACCCAGAAGGTGGAGGCTGCAGTGAGCTGAGATCATGCCACTGCACTCCAGTCTGGGTGACAGAGCAAGATTCTATCTCTAAATAAACAAATAATATTTTAAAAATATATAAATAAATAAATGTATGTATGTATGTATTTATGTCTGTCTGGGCGGATCACTTGAGCTCAGGAGTTGGCCTGGGCAACATGGTGAAACCACATCGTTACAAAAACAATCAGCTGGGCACAATGGCACACGCCTATTGTAGTCCCGGCTACCTGGGAGGCTGAGGTGGGAGAAGCACCAGAGCCTAGGAGGTTGAGGCTGCAGTGAGCCGAGATTGTACCACTGAACTCCAGCCTGGGTAACAGAGTTAGGCCCTGTCTCAAAAAAAAAAAAAAGTCCACTTCTGAAAAATACAGCTAACTCCCTAACAACCTGAAGAACATGCAGCAAGGTGGATGACACAAGCAATCAAATGACCCACTGGATACTGGGTCTCACCAGCGTAAGAGAGTTGTAACTGTGGGAAGCAACTTCATCTTGAAGAAGCCTTGCAAAGAAATGTAGTGTCAAAGAATGAAAACGTCTTCTAAGACAACTGTGAGAAAAGTTTAAACCTTCTATCACATCAAGGGAAGGTGGATGAGAGTGAAGATGTTTTCTTTTTAAAATGCCTAGCATTGCTGTTTCCATAATACACATATACATGTTATTTACACCATCTCAATGACACGTGCTCACCAGAGGGAATGTATTCTCGATTGAGAGCATGACATAAGAGACATGAAGTGTCTATTTCCTCCAGTTGGTCTCGGTTTCTGTACTCCTCTCACCCTGCTTGGTTTTAGTGCTGCCCTAGGTTTTAAAATGTTTGCATGTAACAAGGCCCCTCACAGAAGCCAACTACTTCATTATTAACTGAAAACAAGTGTCTGGTTCCAGTGCTAGAGGAAGAAAACCAACAGCCCTAGAGCATCAAAGACATGCACACACTGTACTTTGCAGGCAATTTAAATAACCTCAGGGCACAGTGGCTGATTTTCAGAGTAGGCAATGACTCTGGGACTTAAGCTTGAAGTAAAATGTGATTCCACTATATTAGGCCTTCCTGACTCCCCACACTTCGCTACTCCTTACAAGTATGCTACTACAGAATTTCATTCCATCAGACAGCTAAAGAAAAAATTCTGGCACGGCATGGTGGCTCACGCCTATAATCCCAGCACTTTGGGAGGCTAAGATGGGTGGATCACAAGGTCAGGAGTTCAAGACCAGCCTGACCAACACAGTGAAACCCCATCTCTACTAAAAATACAAAGGAAAGCTTCCCAGGGGTCATTAAACAAGACATAATGGAATTGTCCATTTCCTCAATCATAAATCCCTTTCCTAAATCATAACTGCACAATAATTCCTTTAAGGAAGATTTTCTCCCTTTATCAGGAGCAAAACTCTGCAGTATTTTTTCTTTTTTTTTTTTTTTCTGGAGAGGGAGTTTTGTTTTTGGTGCCCAGGCTAGAGTCCAACGGCGCGATCTCGGCTCACCACAACCTCCGTCTCCTGGATTCAAGGAATTCTCCTGCCTCAGCCTCCCGAGTAGCGGGGATTACAGGCACGCGCCACCACACCTGGCTGATTTTTGTATTTTTAGCAGGGACGGGGTTTCTCCATGTTGGTCAGGCTGCTCTCGAACTCCCTACCTCAGGTGATCCGCTTTCCTCGGCCTCCCAAAGTGCTGGGACTACAGGCGTGGGTCACCGCGCCCGGCCTGCGCTGCAGTATTAGAAATCACTCTCTGGCCGGGCGCGGTTGCGCACGCCTGTAGTCCCAGCTACTCGGAAGGCTGAGGCAGGAGAATTCCTTTAACCCGGGAGGCTGACGTTGCGGTGAGCCGAGGTCGCGCCATTGCACTCCAGCCTGGGTGACAGAGTGGGCCTCCGTCTTAAAAAAATTTTTTTTTCCTTTAGGGAAAAGAGGCCCCTTGAGAGTATTCTCCAAGCTAACCCGAACTACTCCACAGCAGGAATTCTCGACCTTTTAAGAATTACCTGTCATTTTTCAGTATTTTCTCTACGCTCTGCCATCCTACGCTTCCCAATCCCAAGGCCCCTCCCGTGAGGCAGGCCGAGAAACCCGGGCGTCGGCGCGAGTCTGCTCAATGAACCCCCGCAATCCGCAGACTAAGGCCGCCATGCACTGCCTGCACCGCCCGCACCCTTCTAGGTCCATCCTCTCCAAGCGCGCCTACCATGCTCAAAACCACCAGGACCCCGCCCCTCGCCACAGACAACTGAGGCCTAGAAAGGGCTAATTCCTTCTCATTCACAAACGCCCTCACCCAGGCCACCTCGCGGCCCTCCCTCAGCACCGCCCGAGGGGCGGGACGCTCACCTGCTCGATGGCCAGCTGCACCTCGGGCGTGAGCTGCAGTACCGCTTCCAGTTCCTCCACAAACTCCAGCTCCTCCTCCTCCATCATTCCGCCGCCCAGCCCCTGCGACCCCCGCAGGACCCTACCCGGGCCCCCGGCCGCCACCCAGCCCCAGCACCGCAACCCCGCAGCGGCGGCGGCGCCCCAGCGAGCCCGGCTCCGTCAGCCGCTCTGGCACTTCCGGGAGGCTGCGACACTTCCGGAAGGCCGCGGCACTTCCGGGACCGGGGACCTGTGGGATCGCGGCGGACTGAGCCTGGCTGCGTTCCGGTCACGTGCCGGGTCTCCCGAGCTGCCCCGCGAGCCCTCGGCGCGTCCTTAGGATGGCGGGGCCTCTTCCGTCGCCGAGTGCGCGCCGTCGCTGAGGGCCCCGAGGCTGGAGCAGGGCCCGGCCCCCAGCTGGACGCCCGGAGGAAAGCCAGCCCCGCAGCGGCGCGTGTCCCCGGCGGTGGGGGCGACGTAGGCCCAGCTGGCGAGTGGCAGTGTTGCCACGGACATTCGCGGGGCGGGACGGCGTCCGCTCGGTGGAGAGAAGTTCCCCCTGAGCCGAGCAGAGCCCTGCGACTTTTCGGGGCCACCGCAGCCTCCTTAGCGGGAGAAACGCCTTTTTTTGGGGGCATGGGGTCTCGATCCTGTCGCCCAGGCTGGAGTGCAATGACGCGATCTCGGCTCACTGCAGCTTCACCTCCCGGGTTCAAGCGATTCTCCTGCCTCAGCCTCCCGAGTAGACTACGGGCATGTGCCACCACACACGGCTAATTTTGTACTTTTGTAGCAGGAGCGGCAGCTGGATCTCGAACACCGAATAAAGGAGGGAGGAGTTTATTCCGCAGGGAGACCAGGCAATAATTTGTCAAAAACCCAGCTCCTGTAACAAAGGAAGGTTCTACCTTTATATAGGCTTATACTTTAGATGTTACACGTGGAAGAATTTTAGCTTCATAGTTTTAGGACTCACATGTGAAAAGGTTTTGGTTTAGAGTTTTAGGAATCACATATGAAAGGGTTCCAGTTTACAGTTTTAGGACTCACATGTGAAAAGGTTTCTGGTTTGATCTTGTTTTAAATAAAAATAGTGCCTTCTGGATAGTTTCCCAAGGCCTAGCCTGTCACCTATAGGAAGGTAAAACTGGAGGCGCCAGTCAACCTTTTCTTCCATTTAAATGCAGCATGATAGTCAAAGGGGAAGTTGATCTAAGAAGCCTGGGTCTCCCTTTTCACTTTTAGTAGAGATGGGGGTTTCGAAATGCTGGCCAGGATGGTCTTGAACTCCTGACCTCTTCACTTTTCGTAGAGACGGGGTTTCGCCATGCTGGCCAGGACAGTCTTGAACTCCTGACCTCGTGATCCGCCCACCTTGGCCTCCCAAAGTGGTGGGATTACAGGCGTAAGCCACCGTGCCCTGCCTGAAACGTCTTTATTAAAGTCAAGTGAGGCAGCGCCCAAGCGGTGGAGAGGTGTTTCCTGAGGCTGAATATCCCGAGTATTCCACCACTGAGAACCTGTGTGATCTGGAACAAATGATGACTCCGCGTGGATATGGACAGAATTAAACGTTAACAGCGAGATGCAAATTCAAGCTGGTAATACAGGAGATAGTGGGGTGCCCAGCCCTTCCCCCCGCCACAAAGAACAAAGAAGCCAGGTCACCCTGTGGAACCACTTTTCCTGCAGACACACTGAAAACAGCGAGGGAATTGCCGCCAAAGGAGGACTCGTTTTACCAGGTGAACCGGGAAACTGCAAGCGCATTTGCCCCACTCAACTTTTTTTTTTTAATGTTATCAGAGTTAGTCATAGTAAAAAATAGAAGCACTATCATTTTTTCTTTTAATTCACAAATAATTACATGAACAATCTAATTTGTAACAACAAAGGAATGCTAAAAAATACAAATTGAAAAAAAGACAAAATATATATTGAGCCTGGTGCGGCGGCACAGGCCTGCAGCCCCAGCTACTCAGGAGGCCGAGGCAGGGAATTATTTACTTTCTGAGACAGAATGTCAGCGGTCTACAGAATGTCAGAATGTCAGTGATCTCCCACCACTGAAGATCCCTTGACCCCAGGAGTTAGAGGCTGCAGTAAGCTACAATTGCTTTGCGCCACTGCACTCCAGCCTGGGCAGCACAGTGAGACTCTGTCTCTTAAATAAACACAGAATATTATTTGGAAAATTAATGAAATGAAAAATGTGCACAGTATATTTCAGAAACCAAAATGTATAATTTCATAAAAATACACAGCCTAGTCCCAGCTTTGTGTATGTGTGTTGTGTGTATTCTGTGCCAATAAAACTGACAGCAAGAAAATATGACTTCTGCACGTGATGAATGTATATCGTTTGTACATTTTCCCAAATGTCTCCAATGAGCCTGTAGTACTTTTCAGGCTCAGAAAAGAAAAGGTAATTATAGCTACTTGTTTTGCACAGTTTTTCATTTAAAAAATTAAAATATTTACAGTAAAATTTACTCTTGCAACTTATGATGCGATGAGTTTTGATAAGTGCATATAACCAGTGGGGTGCGGTGGCTTACGCCTGTAATACCAGCACTTGGGGAAGCTGAGGCTGGCAGATCACTTGAGGTCAGGGGTTCAAGACCAGCCTGGCCAACATGGTAAAACATGTCTCTACTAAAAATACAAAAATTAGCTGGGCATGGTCGTGCACAGAATCACTTGAACACGGGAGGTGGAGGTTGTAGTGTTCCAAGATTGAGCCATTGCACTCCAGCCTGGGTGACAGAACAAGACCCATCTCAAATAAATGAATGCATGCATGCATGCATGCATGTATGCATGCATATAACCATGTACCTACTACCACAATCTAGTTATAGGACAATTCCATTATTCCCCCAAATTCCCTCATGCCCCACCCCATCCACTGTCAAACACTGACTTGATTTCTGTATAGTTTTTTTTTTTTTTTTTTTTCCCTTGAGATGGAGTCTCCTTCTATTGCCAAGGCTGGAGTGCAGTGGCACAATCTCGGCTCACTGCAACCTCCGCCTCCCGGGTTCAAGCAATTCTCCTGCCTCAGCCTTCCGAGTAGCTGGGATTACAGGTGCACAGCACCATGCCCGGCTAATTTTTGTATTTTTAGTAGACAGGTGTTTTGCCATGCTGGCCAGGCTGGTCTCGAACTGCTGACCTCAAGTGATCTGCCATTATCAGCCTCTCAAAGTGCTGAGGTCACAGGTGTGAGCCACTGTGCCCAGCCTGTCCCTATAGTTTTGATGTTTCCAGAATATCATATAGATGGAATCACAGTGTGACCCCTGTGCAGTCTGGTTTTCTCCCCTAACATAAAGGATTAAAAAAAAAAAAAAAAAAAAAAACACAGGTTTCACCATGTTGGTCAGGCTGGTCTTGAACTCCCGACCTCAGGTGATCCGCCCACTGCCTCCAAAGTGCTTGGATTACAGGTGTGAGCCACCACGCCCAGCCCAACATAAAGGATTTATGGATTACCCACCCACGTTGTTGCATGTATCCGTAATTCATGTCTTCTCGCTGAGTGGTATTCCACTGTATGAATGCAACCACAATTTATCAAGTCCCTGGTTGAATAACATATGGGTTTTTCCAGTTTTTAGCAATTATGAATAAAGCTGCTGTCAACATTCATGTACAGCTTTTTGTGTGAACATAAGTTTTCATGTCACTTGGTAAATACCTCGACATGGGATTGCTGAGTTATATGATATATCTGTGTTTAACTTTCTAAGAAACTGGTAAACTGTTTTCCAGAGTGGCTGTATCACTTTCACATTCTTACCAGCAAGGTATGAGAGTCCGTTTCCTCACAGAGTTTATTTTTAATGATGGTAATAGTAAGGAACATTTCTCAGCCCTTACTACATGACAGGCACCATGCGAAGCATGTTACATGCGTTGCTCATTTAATTCACACAGCAATTCTGAGGTTGTTAGTTTTTATTATTATCCCCATCGAACAGATAAGGAGATGAAGATCTAGAAATCAAACAACAAAATAAAAACTTGCCTAGGACCTAGAGCTAAATCTTCCCACGGTTCATTAACCTATTCAGGACACTTATTGAACGACTGTTCCTGCTGGTGACAGGTAGTCAAGCTAGGTGCTGGGAATTCATCAGTGAGCAAAATGGACCACATGGCCACTCTAAGAGTTGTTTTCTATGTATAAAAAGGGTGTTTGTACAAATAAACATAGAATTGTGATAGACCCGATTAAAGAGAAGAAAAGCACATTTTGAGAGACTATGGATGGAGAGTTCTGATTGGATTAGGGGTCAGGAAAGCCTCTCCTTTTGTTTTTTGTTTTTGTTTTTGTTTTGTTTTGTTTTTGGAGACAGAGTCTCACTCTGTTGCCCAGACTGGAGTGCAGTGGTGTGATCTCGGCTCACTGCAACCTCCGCCTCCCAGGTTCCAGCAATTCTCCTGCCATAGCCTCCTGAGTAGTTGGGATTACAGGCACCTGCCACCTCGTCCAGCTAATTTTTGTATTTTTAGTAGAGACGTGGTTTCACCATGTTGGCCAGGCTGGTCTCGAACTCCAAACTCCTAACCTCAGGTGATCCACCTGCCTCAGCCTCCCAAAGTGCTGGGATTGCGGGCGTGAGCCACAGCACCCAGCCAGGAAGTGATTTTTAAGCTGAAACCAAGGGTAGGAAGCAAGGATAGCACATGGATTAAAGGAACAGGATGTGCAAAAGCTGTGAGTATGAACACAATTGGCCAGGGTGGTGGAACTTTGAAAGTCAAGGGGAGAGTGATACCTGAGGAAGCTGGAGAAAGGGGCATTGCCAGATGACAAGGGATCTGGAAGGTTGTCTTAAAGGACCGGGAAGCCTTTGAAGGATTGTAAGCAGAGGAGTGGCATGACCAGGTTTGCATGCATGCCGACAGCCCTATCCCTCCATTTTGTTTTCTTTGCCTCAGAGCTTCCCACATTGTGGAGAGTCGTGCAGCTAGGGTGACACATGTCCAGCACAAATCCCTGTTGTCTTATTTCCGCTGATTCTGATTGTCCTTCTCAGCATCCACTGTCAATTCTCAATGGCACTCTCCCAGGACCCAAAGCCTTCCCCTCCTCTGGAGCTCCAACTCCATGACATCCCTTCTCCCTCTTTGCAGATAAGCTACTAATAATACAAAAATTAGCTGGGCATCGTGGCTTATGACGGTAATCCCAGCTACTCGGGAGGCTGAGG